AAAAATAAATAAAAAATCAGAAGTGAAATCCCTCTTGGGAGTTCTGCATTAAAGATTAAATTCTCACATAATGAGAAGTATTTCAGAAGTAGGGGAAAATGTTAATGAACAGGGGGACGTTCTGATCCAAACTGTCCCTTGTTTTTTGTTGTGATGACTTCACATACTTTTGCAGGTCTGCTGCTTGGAAAGCAGGCTTTCGAGCCTTAACCTCTGCATTTTACTTCTTCCCCTCCCCTCCTCTGCGTATGGGATTTGGATTGAAGAATGTCAGTGAAGAGAAAGGTTTAAATACTATGTCACCCAACTGCTGTCCCTACTTCAGATAAACTCACTGGCTTGTATTATTTTGTTTAAAAACAAAAATATCAGAATATCTAGGGATGATTCTCCCACCTAAATAATATGTGGTTTCCCCTATTTCACAGGATAAGTTCAAACAAACAAACCCTTTCCTCATTTCCCCATGCATATTAGATCCAGTTTTAAGTGCCAATATCTTTACATTTTTGTTTTTCATCCATTCTCATTTTATCCTCATTCTGGAATTTTGGGGAAATGGACACTGAATTATATCTGGTTTCCTTGGAGCCCTTCCAGTGAAGGAGGGCGTGGTTGGCTAGATAATGGTTTGTTTTATATTCAAATGGTTTTACCTTCTGTTACCTAGTAAAAAATCTGGTTGAGGCTGAAACTAGTGTATGTTTGCCAGTGCACCAGTGCTATGGCAAACGTTCAGAAACATCTCAAAATATGGTAATTGCATGGATGTAGGATTTTAAGGAGGGCCTAAATACCTTAAAGGCACCCGATCTCATCCGATCTTGGAAGTTAATCAGGATCAGCCCTGGTTAGTACTTGGGAGACTGCTGAGGAATACCAGATGCTATGGACTAGATTTCAGAGGAAGAAACTGGCAAAGCCACCTGTGAGTACTCTTGCCTATGAAAACCCGATGAAACTCATGAGGTTGTCATAAATCGACAGGTGACATGAAGGCACATGCACACACAGCTCTTTAAGGATGCCAGATTTTCCATTCCTTGTGCTCCTTTTATTTAGCAGATTGCTACTAATTATAGTATTATCCTAAAACACGACAGTATGTTTCTTTTAATCTGCCATGGATTTTATAAGGTTGGTTTGTTCATTTTTGTGGGGCAGCAGTTTGAAAGAAGCATGGGCTGGCAGACTGTGTTGTGCTCCCATATAACTCAGCAGTCTCCCCTGTGCCATGAAGGTTACAATCTTCTTAGTTTTCAAAACTAGGTTTGGATTCAGCAGTTAAGACTTAAAAGAAATTTCCAAATACAGAAAGAGATTTTTGGAGGGGGCAGGGGGCGTCATGTGGTAACGTGGCTGTGATCCGTCCTAGCGGTTGTTACTTATTTGGGTCACGACAATGCCTTGTGGTGCCAACAAGGGTTCTTGTGTTCCAGGATCTTCATTAATACATTAGCAAAGAGATGGAAAAATCCATTTCCCAGACAGCTTGCTGTCTTGTGCCAGGGTATAAGGGGGGGGGGGGCAAAGCGAACAGAAAATGACAGAGCAAAAATTGTGAATGAAGCAAGCAAGCAAATGCTGTAAAGTTGGGATTGCTGTGTTTTTAAAGGGAACCAGTACCACCTTTGGTATTTGGAAGTTCTCAGTTCTTATAGCTATAATGAACAGGCACAGCCAAACTCTCACTGGATATGTATAATCTTATTTTTCTTCACATTGTTACTGATATATAGATGTAGAGTGGAGGAGGAAAGCATAATTCAGCTATATTTTGTTATCTTCGAATGCCATGTGATGTATGTTATATTTCAGAGGAAGGAAACCAAATCACCTCTGAATATTCCATGAATAAGAAAACCCTATGAAATTCAAGGGATTGCCATAAATGGACAGTCGGCTTGAAGGGATACACACGCGTACACAGAAAGAGAATAAAATGCCATTGGTTATCTATCCAATTTCCTTTCAAAAAGCATGGCAGTGCCTTAATTGCTCTCCTGTGGCCTGTTTATCTTTTGGTTGCTGCTGGAACCTAGCTGTGACACACATCTAGGTTCTTCCCTTGCCTAAAGCATCACAATTCACATTGTCTAAATTGAAGGCTGGAATGTCTCATGAAAGGTTCTTTGTAGTGTTTGTTGTGTTCTGTTAGTACAGCTCCTTGTTCCTTTCTCTACGCTGGTGTATGTTGTTTTTTTTTAAGGGTCTGACATTGGGTTTTCTTTTATTATTTGTGTTTGCCCAGTTTAGTTTTACAAAACTCCCTATTTTTTCCTGCCCCTCTTCCCCCATGATATAAGCTTGTGCTCTCCTATCATTTCTCTATCACCTTTGTTGTACAAAGCAAAAATCTATGAATATAAAATTGCCTCTGCTCAGAGAACCTTTAAATGACAAACATTTCCTATTTTTCTGTTCCCTTTTTTTTAAACCCCCCCCCCCCCCCCCCCAATTTGTATTTTCTTCTCCTCTTAGAAATAAATGTTGGTGATGAGTGAGTGTTTCACCTTCTTTGGTGGTGGGAAAAAGTGGAAATGGATTTCACATCATTTCATTTCTTATAGTAATATTCCACCCCACCCCCTGTCCCTTAACACCTTCGCAGTTATATTAGCCTTATATTACATTCTCTTATGTTAGACCATAATTTTGTTTTGTATTTTCCTTCATAGTGGATTAAATGCCTAGTGGGCTTTGATCATACCATGTCAAAACAAAATTTCTGTTTCTTCTCTTGTGTGTCTTCCCTGTGATTTAGTTCTTTTTTCATATGATGCTTAAATAAGTCATGGATGTAAGCTTGGCCTAAAGAAAATCCCAGAGAAATTGCTGTTGTGTGTTTTCAAGTCAGTTTCTACTCATGGTGTCTTTAAGGCGAACCTATCACAAGGTTTTCTTGGCAAGATTTATTTAGAGGGGCTTTGCCATTGCCTTCCTCTGAGCCCAAGAGAGTGTGACTTGCTCAAAGTCACCTAGTGTGTTTCCATGGCCAAGCAGGGGTTTGAACCCTGATCTTCAGGGTCAGTCCAGCAACCAAACAATTACACCACGCTGGATCTCAAAGAGAAATAAATGTGCACATTTTTAATTAAAAACACCCCTTTCCCTTATTCCTTATAAATAGATTTCAGGGCCATATTTTCTCACTTCCTTTCATCACATACCTAGCTGCTTTCTGACAATGTCAGAAATATCTACTGTATATACTCATGTATAAGTCTAGAAATTTTAGTCAACTGAGTTGGCTAATCCACGGGTCAATGGATTTTAACTCATATTTAAAAAGGAACCATCCACTGGTGAAAGGCAAGAATATAATCTGTCTTGGAAGCACTGACTCCCCTCTACTCTCCCCTTTATCTAGCCTTTAGGGTGAGCACAAACAATTATGACGGCTGGAATTTTGTAAGTTCTTTGGCATTGTTTTATTTTGCTTCACCTTCTAGATTCATGCTGGTAAACCCATGGCACGCGTGCCATTTCTGGCACGCAGTCCGGTCTGCGAGGGCACGGCAGCCACCAGTGGAAGGGATGGGGCAGGGGCGAGCACATGCGCATGGCCCGGCTGCTTGTCTCAGCCCAGTTTGCACTGGTACAACGGGGCCACAAGGAAGGAGGAGGAAGGAAAGAGGAGGAGGGAACTGGCATGTGGTGGCGGAGGCATGGAAGAAGAAGTAGGAAGCTGGGTTGCAGGAGGAGGGGTGTGGGGTGTAGGGTGTTGTATGCCTTTTAGTTGTTTCTGGCAACCCTACCATTGGGTTTTCTTGGCAAGTTTTAAGGACGGGGTTTGCCATTGCTGTCTTCTGAAGCTGAGAGTGTGTGTCTTGCCAAAGGTTCCCTTGCAGTGGGTTTCATAGCCCTATGGAGACTACATTTTTGCAGTGTAGTTGTGTGTGTTGTGCGCCTTCCAGTTGGCCATTTGTCTTCCTCTGAGGCTGAGAGAGTGTGTCCTGCCAAAGGTTCCCTTGCAGTCAGTTTTATAGCCCAGAGCAGACTTCATTTCTGCAGTGTAGATTTGTCTGTGTTTTGTGCCTTCCATTTTGCCATTTGTCTTTCTCTGAGGCTGAGAGTGTGTGTCTTGCCCAAGATCCCCTCGCAGTGGGTTTCATAACCCAACGGGGGACTACATTTCTGCAGTGTAGATGTGTGCATTGTGTTCCTTCCAGTTTGTCATTTGTTTTCCTCTGAGGCTGAGAGAGTGTGTCCTGCCCAAGGTTGCCTGGCAGTGGGTTTCGTAGTCCAACAGGGACTACATTTCTGCAGTGGGTATGAATTTAGAGAACAGCTCTGTTAGTCGGAATATCAATATACACAGGGTGTTCTATGGAGGACATTCAAGGAAAATGTAGGGTGTGTGTGATCAAATAAACCCTTAAAAAACACTCCTATAAATGTATGCTTCTTAGTCATGCTAAAAATGGAGGATATTCAAGAAAAATGGAGGACCTGACCAAATAAAAGCTAAAAACACTCCTAGAAATGTCAATTCATGTTTCTTAGCCATGCTCAAAATGGAGG